CTCTACGCAACGCTGGCAGGCGGTCGACCAAGCTGTGCTGGCGGTCGACCAGGCTAGCTGCAGAGTTGCTAGGTGCCTGATGTAGTCATTGTTGTCATTGCTTGTTCAATCATTCTGTAATTTCGACTTTGCTAGTGGAAACTCTTGCCGATTTCTCCCGTGATTGTGCAAGCACCAAGGAACTAGGCAAAGCTACGATCACTCCAAATAGTTCGTGCCAAACCCCGTAGTCAAGCTCACTACCGTTGTAGAGTGAATCTCTGCATGGTGCGGTGAGCGTGGACGGCCCCGCAGATTACCTTCAGATAGGAGCCGACTTTTGCACCCACTAAGTCGTTCGTAGGCCGGCAGCAGCGTTAGTCGCCATGGTCGACCCCGTAGTTGATGCGGGCGTAGCGGACACCTTGGAGGCACGTTTGGCTGACGCGAGGAGACGCCACACGGATGGCGAGTACGGACGATCCCCTTGGTGATCGCCGAGTTGGGCATCCGGTCGCAGTGGGCGACGGAACACCCTTCCCGTTCTGCATCTCCTCGACCGGTGCGCAACGAAGGTGGCGTCGACGACGAAGTCGACGGTGGTGCACGAGTCAGCGGCAGCGAAGGCACGAAGCAGAGAGGGGTGATCAAGGTCGACGGTGGTGTCGACGGAATCCAGACGCGAGTGCAGCGGTCGACGGCGGCTGCAGGCAGCTCGCGTGCCGACGTCGATGGTCGACGTCGCTCTCCTCTACGGAGTGGTGGAGGACTCTCGGCGACAACGCATGTGACGGCAGGCGGGATTGCACCGGCGTATGGCTACTTCAAGTTCTCGCCGGACCGGATCACCGTCGCACCTCTGCAAGGTCGACGGGACCTCATCACCTGGAGGGAGTCGATAGAACCTCAGCTGGAGGTCGCCGGGCTGAAGGGCTTCGCCGACGGCACAGTGCCAACTCCGCCCGTGGACGATGTCGAGCTGCGCGGGGAGTTTCGTGCGGCTCACTTGCTCACCTTCATGGTCATCTCGAGGTGCTGCTCGCCGGTGGTGCAGCTGGCGCTCAGGAGCTGTCGAGAGCGACTGGATGCTGGTCACCAGGCATGGCACTTCATCCTGTCGACGTACCAGGTCAGGGACGACCTGTACATCGGACAGCTGGAGGAGAAGATGACACACATTCGGATGGGCGAGCAGGAGTCGGCGACGGACTACTGCACGACGAATCCTGGCTGAGATGCGGATGGCGGGCGCCGAATACTCGACGTCGTCCTACATCACCCACATCGTTAAGGGCCTGCCGCGCGACTACAACCTCATGAAAAGGATGATGATGGTGCCCGGCACGCGTGAGTCCCTCGACGAGGACTCCATCACCAGCTACATTCTTCAAGATGAGGCGATGCAGGAGGCCGAACAGCCCACAGAGCTCCTTCCGCAGGCAAACTACGTTGCACCGACGAAGCTGCATCAGCAGCAAGGGCAGCGCGGGAAGCCGGGCGGAGGTGGTAGCGGAGGTGGGCGGTCGACGAAGGACGTCGACGAGAAGAGGTCGACGCGGGACAAGGGTCGACGAGGCAGTGGTCGAGGGCGGGAGTGCTGGATCTGCGGCGACCCCGACCATCTCTCCTTCGAGTGCCCCGACCGCGATGACAGCGACGAGGACGACAGCAAGGGAGGCCGCGGACGGTCGACCAGTCGTCGCCCCCGTCGAGATGAGAAGCCGCGCAAGGAGAAGCAGACGTCGAAGAAGACGTCGTCGACGAAGGACGTCGACACCTCCAGCGGCAAGAGCCGAGGCGACGGGGAGGCGTCGTGCTCGATGGTCGGCGTAGTGGAGCCGATGGTCTCGCTGGCGCCGGAGGCTGGCGAGGACTTCCAGGCGGTGGCGGCAGCTGTGCAGGCCAACCTGATGGCGGTGCTGCTCGACAGCAGGTGCTCCCACCACCTGATGGGGACGAAGGCGGTCTTCGTCGACATGGCGCCGAGCGACGGAGTGAAGCACGTACGCGGATTCAATGGGGCCCTGCAGCCTGTCGAGGGTCGAGGAACCGTCGCTCTACAAGGGGAGGCCGGGAAGCAGGTCCTCATCCCCGACGTGCTCTACGTTCCGGGCGTACAGGCGAATCTACTGTCTGCTGGCCAGCTGAAGGAGAACAGAGTGCAGCTGCAGGGCGACGGCGACGAGATGCTGCTCGTCGCCGCGACCGGGGAGGTGCTCGGTCGAGCACGCTACACCGGACGAGTCCTCTGCACCGACCTTCGCCCCTGCTCGACGCGGTCGCCGTCGACCGAGGTGGTGGCTCTGCGGGCGATCGTCTCGGCGACCAAGTCGACCCCTGACCGGCTGCATGCGAGGCTCGCGCACGTCGGCGTCGACACGATCAAGAGCTCGGCGAAGCATGGCGTTGCTACTGGGCTCGACATCACGCCGTCGACCGGAGAAGACCCGCCGTGTGTCTCGTGCGTCGGAGGAAAGCTGGCGCGGCACACCTTCCCCGACAAGGGCTCGGACGCCGAGGAGGCACTGGCTGTCGTGCACATTGACTTGTGCGGGCCATTTCGGGTGGCTGCCAAGGATGGCAGCTTGTATTTCCTGCTGCTGAAGGATCGCCATACTCGGTTCGTGTGGGTAATGCCGGTTGCTAAGAAGAGCGACGCGCTGCGGGAGTTCCAGAAGTGGCTGGTGCTGGTGGAACGGCAGACGAAGAAGTCGGTGCTGTCGCTTCGCTCCGACCGGGGAGGGGAGTTCCTCGGAAAGGATTTCACTAACTTCGTCGATGGGAAGGGCATCGTCCACGGCCTGACGTGCCCCTACACTCCGCAGCAGAATGGCATGGCTGAACGGGAGATGCGCACGGTCGTAGAGTCCGTGCGGACGATGCTGCTGCACATGGGCGTGCAGCACCACTGGTGGCACCTCGCTCTTCGACAGGCTGTATGGGTGCGCAACTGCTTGGAGCGGTCGACGACGCCGCCGGGGACGACGCCGTACCAGCTGCTGACCGGGCAGAAGCCCGACCTCACACTGGCGCGGGTGTGTGGCTGCATGGTGCAGTTCATGATTCCCGAGCAGCAGCGCGGTGGGAAGCTGGCACCGAAAGCTCGCTGGGGGCTTCACCTGGGTGTGTCGCTGGAGAGCAAGGGCTGGGAGGTGCTCGACCTGACTGACAATAAAGTGGTCACGTCAGTCGAGGTGATCTTCTACGAGACGCTGTCGCTGGAGGTGTGGAAGGCAAAGTATGGGCCGGCGTCGGGGCGGACGCAGGCACACTCGCCGACGGACACCTCGACGGCGACGGTTCCACTGCTCGCCGAAGTCGACGAGCCTGCTGATGAGGATGTTGTGGAGGTTCTTCCACCTCCCCTTGTTCTTGCTCCTCCCTTCCCCGTCGCAGATCAGCCTGCGTCGACGCCCGTGTCGGCCGCCGGCGATGAGGGGAGCCTTGAGACGTCGCCTGTGGCGCCGGCCAGTGGCATCGCCGGCGGTCAACAAGGCGCCAAGGTCGTCGACCAGGATGAGCAGCCGGGGCGGTCGACAGGGGAGCCGGTCGAACAGGAGGCAGCAGCAGGGGTGCAGTCGACAGGGGAGCAGCAGCCGGGGCGATCGACAGGGGAGCTGTCGAAGTCAGCAGCAGGCGAGCAGCCGGTCGAAGGGTCGAAGCAGCTGGTCGACGACGAGGACGTCGATGAGGAAGGGGAGCAGTCGGCGGGTGAGGAGTCCACTGACAGCGACGTGGTGGAAGTGCCGATCACGAAGCCCGAGCTGCGACGCACAGGTCGAGCTCGACGGCTGCCGGAACGGCTAAGCTTCCACGCCTGCCTACCGCCAGCTGCCTTCACCACGGTGTACGACGAGGTCGACGACGACCTGTTGTACGACGACGCCGAGGAGGATGAAGATCTGCCGGAGCTCGACCCCGACGTGCATGCCGACCCCGAACACCGCTGGGACATCGCCATGATGACGGTGAAGGAGGCGCTGGCGAGCTGGAAGGGCGAGGCGGTGAAGGCCGCCATGGAAGAAGAGATCCGCAGCCTCATCGGCATGGGCACTTGGGAGCTGGTCGAACGACCACGCGGGGTGAACATCATGAAGAACCGGTGTGCTGGAGGCCGCCTTCGAGTTGCGCGAGATCTCGCCGGTGCAGAATCCGTGGCGGATGAAGATCTCGCGCAACCGTCGAGCTCAACCTGTGCGTCGCAGCTCAGGCTTCGTGATCGGCACTTCCACCACGTCGCTGTCAGTGGACTCCTCACCCGCCGACTGCTCCCCTTCCTCATCGACGTCCTCGTCGTCGACCAGCTGCTTCGACCCTTCGACCGGCTGCTCGCCTGCTGCTGACTTCGACAGCTCCCCTGTCGACCGCCCCGGCTGCTGCTCCTCTGTCGACTGCACCCCTGCTGCTGCCTCCTGTTCGACCGGCTCCCCTGTCGACCGCCCCGGCTGCTCATCCTGGTCGACGACCTTGGCGCCTTGTCGACCGCCGGCGATGCCACTGGCCGGCGCCACAGGCGACGCCTCAAGGCTCCCCTCATCGCCGGCGGCCGACACGGGCGTCGACGCAGGCTGATCTGCGACGGGGAAGGGATGAGCAAGAACAAGGGGAGGTGGAAGAACCTCCACAACATCCTCATCAGCAGGCTCGTCGACTTCGGCGAGCAGTGGAACCGTCGCCGTCGAGGTGTCCGTCGGCGAGTGTGCCTGCGTCCGCCCCGCCAGCACTGCAGAAAAGCGACCTGCCAACACTGCAGGTCGACGGCGTGCCAACGCTGTTAACGGGAATGGAGTGTTGGCCCCGCCCTTGCTTGGGCAACGCCGACGACTTGGTCGGATGTACGGGAGTGGCAGCCGACCGTTCACAGTGGGAGAGCTGCTCGACAGGCTTGGTCGAGCTGCAGGGGACCGCTGTGGTGTTGCTGTCGACCAGGGAGCTCGACAGCTGCAATTGACTGGTTTGGGCGACAGGTGGGCCGTCGATTTGTCCCTCTATGCATGTGTGCGCCGCTCACAGTTTTGCACTCACCCGAACCCTCCTCGAGGGAAATGGTGGGAAGGAGGGGTGAAATGAGGGAAAGGAGAGGGGGGAATGAGGGGAGGGAGAGGGGAAAATGAGGGGAAGGAGGGGTAAAGGAGGGGACGGAGAGAGGGAGAGGAGAGACGGATAAGGGGAAATGTGGGAAACGAGAGGTGGGGATTTTGTGGAACGAGAGGATGAAATGAGGGGAGAGGGGGAAACGAGGGGACGGAGTAGGGGAAATGCGAGAAACGAGATGGGGAGATGAGGGTAAGGAAAGGGTGAATGAGGGGAAGGAGGGAGAAATGAGGGGGGAAAGCGGGGAAATGAGAGGGGGAAGGGGGGAAATGAGAGGGAGAAGTTGGGGAAATGAGAGGAGGGGAAACGAGAGGGGGAAGGATGGGAAACGAGAGGGGGAAGGGTGGGAAACGAGAGGGGGAAGGGTGGGAAACGAGAGGGAGGAGGGGGAGAAATGAGAGGGGGAAGGGGGGAATACGAGAGGGGGAAGGGGGAGTTACAAGAGGGAGAAGGGGGGGAAACGAGAGGGGGAAAGGGGGGAAATGAGAGGCAGAAGGGGGGGGAACGAGAGGGAGAAAGGGGGGAAATGAGAGGGAGGAGGGGGGGAGACGAGAGGGGGAAAACGGGGAAATGAGAGGGAGAAGGGGGGAAATGAGAGGAGGAGGGGAAAAGAGAGGGGGAAGGGGGGGGGAAACGAGAGGGAGGAGGGGGGGAAATGAGAGGGAGAAGGGGGGGAAACGAGAGGCGGAAGGGGGGAAAATGAGAGGGAGGAGGGGGGGAAACGAGATGGAGAAGGGGGGGAAACGAGAGGCGGAAGGGGGGGGAAATGAGAGGCGGAAGGGGGGGAAACGAGAGGGTGGAGGGGGGAAACGAGAGGGAGAAAGGGGGGAAACGAGAGGGAGAAAGGGGGAAAAATGACGAAATGGGTTATGAGCCGAGCAGCGCGTGAGGCGAGTATTGTGCCGATTCGCAGGTGAGGCATGCGGCGGGTGAGGCGAGAAGCGGGTGACGAGCTAAACAGATTTCGCGAGCACCGTGTTTGGCGAGGAGCGGGTATCGCGATCAGCGGGTATCGCGATCAGCGGGTTCCGCCATCACCGGGTATCGCCATCAGCGGGTTCCGCCATCAGCGGGTATCGCCATCAGCGGGTTTCGCCATCAGCGGGTTTCGCCATCAGCGGGTTTCGCCATCAGCGGGTTTCGCGATGCATGATGGCGCTAGGCGAGAAGCCCGTAGGGTGGAACGCGACGGCTCTCTGAATAATTTATCGCTGGTTCGACGATTTCATCACCCTGGAGGCGCTCGCCGTTTGCCGGATGGCATCGCTAGACGAATGCTACGCGGCGGCCCATCCGAATGCACACCGCCCCTGCAGCTAAAGGCGTTTATATAGCCCCGTGTCCCCTTACAACGGGCGATTAGGTCAGGGTGAGTAGTTGCGCTGCTAGTTCTATGCTGGCCTTTCCTTGTAATTAGTTGCTTATACTTGTGTTTGTGAGCCCAACCTCAAGGCTTGGGTGACGGGAGAGTTTCTCATGTTCCCACCCCTCAATCCTCCAAATTTTCGCAACCCCTCTCGCCAAGCCCCTTTCTTTTCGTTGGGGCGAAATCTTGGTGGCTACTGTTCCACCACAAACAGTACTTTCAAATGTATACGAAAGCTTCAAGGCGTGTTCAAGACGCGTTCATTCGAAAGTCAAATCGGGTTACACTGTTAATAACTGTAGCACAATATTTATTTGTACCACCCGAGGTCAAGATGTCAGCACGTCTTGACCGGCCAGCTGACGAACGAAGGTTTGAACATTTTGAACAGCCCGTTCGTCAGCACGCCTATCTTGAACCGCATCGCTGGTCAAAACGTTGGCTACAGCTGGTTATCGCGCGTACCACTTCTTCGCCGAGCCGCATTCACCCCACAAAACACTCAATTCCCCGCGCATTACGGTGTGGGTTAGCAATGCGGAGAGTCACTACACAACGGGAGTGGACTACGGAGGAGGGCACGGGGTTGTGCGAGTGATCGGAGCTTGCACTAGCGTTCTTACTTCTTGCTTGTGTTCACTGAGAAGTTTGGCAAGAGTTTCACTAAGAAAAGTAAAAGAACATTGAGTACAATGAGGAATGCAAACGATATAACTAGAATGGCATGCAACACCTAGCAAGGGCGAAATCTGCCAGCGCAGCAGAAGAGCGGCTAGCCAACGCTGCAGCAGAATAGTCTGTCAGCGTTGCACTGCGCGCGGCCTGCCAGCACTACAGTCGCAGGTGACTATCTGCAGTCGCAGGTTGTCTATCTGCGCAGATGTGCGCACCTACCAAGTAGGTGCAGGTTGACAGTTTCACTGTCGGGCACATTGCGCAGGTGCCAGGTACAAAACGTGTCGTCGGTTTCGCCAGGTGCGCACCGTCGACCACGTGCTTGTCAAACTTATATGTTGTATAGGCTGTAGTGGGGTAGCCCATATGGGGTACAACCCAATTAGGGTTAGTACTTGTACCCATCTTGCTGCTGGTTCATTCATTCTCGTTTCATTCTTCTGACATGGTTTCAGAGCAGGTCCTCTCCTAGGACCGTTTTTTTTAGGGCCCACCGAATCGCGCTACCCCACGAGTCGCGCCGCCCTGTTAGCGTCGCGCTGCCCTGCCCTACCCTGTGTCGCGCTGCCCGCGCACGCCCTTCCCTGCCCTGCCCGCGCGCAGCTCGCTGCCGCGCCGCCGCCCTGCCCGCGCGCGGCTCGCCGCCGCGCGCCCTGCCCTGCCCGCGCGCCGCTCGCCGCCGCGTCGCCCTGCCCGCGCGCCGCTCGCCGCCGCGCCCCTGCCCTGCCCGCGCGTAGCTCGCCGCCGCGCCCTGCCCTGCCCGCGCGCCACTCGCTGCCGCGCGCCCTGCCCTGCCCGCGCACCGCCCTGCCTGCGCGCCACTCGTCGTCGCGCGCCCTGCACTGCCCGCGCGCCGCTCGCCGCCGCGCCGCCCTGCCCTGCCCGCGTGCCGCTCGCCGCCGCGCCGCCCTGCCCTAATCTGCCTGTGCACTGCCCTGCTGGCCGCCGCCCTGCTTTGCCCTGCCTGCGTGCTGCCCTGCTGCTAGCGCGCCCAAATGCTTGGCCCGCGATGGCTACTCTTAGCGTGCTTACATTCGATTATGAGGGCCGTCCGATAGAGTTTGATGCGTGGCTCGATGACTTACAGCTGTACTTACTGAGCGACTCTAGGGACGGTGTTTCGCTGTTTGACCTCACGCCTGGAGCCTCTCTCGCCCCTTCCGCCACAGCTGACAGTGCGACTCGCTCACAGTGGCTTACCCGTGACGTTGCTGCTCGCCTAGCCGTTCGCAACCACCTGCCGTTAGCCGAACGCGCTCACTTTGGCCAGCACAAGACTGCTAAAGCCCTGTACGACGCTGTAGTCGCTCGTTACTCCTCCCCGGCCACTGCTGCTCTAGGCCGCCTTCTACTGCCCTACCTGTTCCCCGAGCTGTCCGCCTTTGCCACAGTCGCCGACCTCGTCACTCACCTTCGCACTAGTGACGTCCGCTACCGAGCCGCGCTTCCCGCCGAGTTTCTAGCCAAGAACCCCCCTCCCATGTACATCACTCTCTACTTCATCGTCACCCGCCTCCCTGACTCTCTTAGCGCAGTCAGGGACCTCCTTCGCCCTTGACCTCACAAACCTCACTGTCGACCTGCTCGAGAAGCACCTCCTTGCAGCTGAGACTGGCATCGTCGCTGTAGGCGCTTCTCGTGGCACTCCTCGCACTCCCTTCTTTGAGGGGTGTTCCCTCTCCCCCTTTGTCCCCTCAGTCGCTTCTGCTGCTGCTGTTGACTGCCTTCGTGCTGAGGAGGTAGGAGCTGCGTCTGCTCCTAGTGAGAGGCGCCGCAGCGGCAGGGGCAAGGGAGGCAGGGGTGGTGGGGGTGGCAGCGGTGGAGGCGGTGGTGGGGGCGGTGGAGGCGGTGGAGGTGGCGGTGGTGGGGTGGTGGCGATGGGGGCGGCTCATCATGTGACTTTTGAGTCGACTCAAAAGTCACCCGCCACACCATTGCATGTAGTAGCGTGGACCACACATGCGGGCAGAGCAGTCCTCTGAGAAGGCTCAGACTGGGGTACGTATATGGGGGCGGGCCGGGCAGCTCACCTTATGCCTGGCAGAGCGGGTGTGGTGTGAGCGCTTCCAGCCGACGCCTTGATCACCGTGAACCCCACATCGCCTCACTCGTGTCTGGCGGGGGAGGGGAGGACAGGGGGGAGGGGAGGAGTGGGGGAGGGGAGGAGTGGGGGAGGGGAGGAATGGGGGAGGAGAGGAAGCGGGTGAGCGGAGGAGAGAGGGGATGGGGAGGGGGGGCCTGAAGGATGGGGCACACAATGGGGTGACTTGTGCGCCTTAGTCACTGTGAACCCCATAGTCTCACTTGTGTCTGAGGGGAAAGGGTGGGGAATGGGGGGTGCGGAAAGAAACGGGGAGAACGGGAGGCAAAGGAGAGAGAGGAGGGGTGGCGGAGAGAGTTTGTGGGGGGGATGGGGGGGGAGGAGAAATGGGAGGGGGGCGAAGGGGGGTGGGGAGGAGGGGAAGCGTGGGGGGAGCGCGAGGAGGGGGGAAGGTCACGGAGGAACAGGGGGTGAGTTGTGTGGCTGTTGGTGGGCAGCCTCGCTCGTGTGAGAGGGGCGCGCATGGCAGACTTTCGAGACGTCTCAAAAGTCTCGCTCGTGTCAGAGGGGCGTGCATGGGGGAAAGGGGGACGGGGATTGGGGGCGTGGGAGAGGGGAGGTGGGAGACGAAGAGCGACGAGACTAGTCATTGCCCAAGATTTAGGGTTCCCTCCAGCCTTCCTCCTAACCCAAGGTCAATGTTATGTTGTCCCTCCCCTTGTCGTTTCCGTCTCCTGATCTTCCTTTTACCCATCGCGTTGCCGCCAGCGATCGGACCTCCCGCCTCGCCGGATGCATCGGCGCCTCCCACAGCGGCTGAAGCGGCGTAAAATCCAGCGGCCGCGACGTCCTTAGCGGCTCCCGCGACGAATGTCACGGCGGAAGGCACGGCGACGTCCCCCATGTCCATGTCGCCAGCCCCGCCCTGATTCTTCGCCTTCCGCTTCTTCACCATTTTCGTGAGGGAGGGCAACACTTATATATTAATACTTCAAGAACCACAGTATAATATACTCACAAGTAGCGAGATTTTCAAGCACTGGTTTCCGCGGGCTATCACCTAGACTTAAGAAGTTATCGAGAACTAACTGCAGCGAAGGGATTGATGAAGCTTGAAGATTGGAGTTATGGCAATGTGTTTAGGGTTGATGCCTCCCAAATGGCGAGCCATCCGAGAGGGGTTTATTTTTTCCACTGGTCACCTTCAGAATTTCCCTGGTCACAGGTAATTGGAAATGTCGAAATCAGCTGCCCCAAGGAATCGGACGCGAGCGGAGAAGCGAGGCGGTGTAAAAGCCACTGCCCAAAGGAATCGGTAACTTGAAAACAGGGCGATCCGTCATTTCCTCTTTTTTTCTCTCTCGATTCGCCACGTGGGCTGCGTTGCGATTGGCTAGTTGTTCATCAGGCATTTCGTGACGTCACCCAAACGTTTCGGACCATTTGTTCCGATGAAAACTGCCCGAGCCGCATAGTGTGAGCCACTTGAAGGGGGGGTCTATACTGTGGGTGCAACTGCCCGGCACCAAAACCTCGCGTGCAGGGTTTTGACTAGGGGCAGGGCAAAATCGCGGGCATTGGTTGAGCATCATGTGTATAGGTTGCTTGAGCGCTTGACCAATGAAGGGATCGACCGTCGTCCCAGTCCACATATTCCTTGCTTGTTTCTGGCCGCTTTCTTGATCACCACGCGGAAATCGCGCCTTCGCCGACGGACCCCGACTAGGGGGGCTGCGAAATTCGCCCATTTTCGCTCGCTCTCTAGACTGGACTGCTAGATCTCTCGCTTTCGCAGACGACAGAGATCGTGAGGGAAATGACAGTGATACAGAGAGGGGACATGCGCCGCGGTGCACTCATCCCCTCCCGCACGTTGCGCACAATGCTTCAGCGCACGGAGAGTAGCATGTCCGCTTCCTCTTGGAAAATCTCAGCCAAAACGGGTCGTCAAGCCTGACGGACAACCGACTCCGCCCGGGGGAGCTCGCTGCCCGGGGGCAAAAAAATAAAACCCTATCGGGCATGCATCCGGTCAGGGAGGCATCAGCCCTAAACACCTTGTCGCATGGTGTTTAGGGTTGATGCCTCCCTCTCGGATGGCATGCCATCCAATAGGGTTTTAGTTTTTTCTGCCCGTCGGTCAGGTCGACGGTGGTCGACGGGCGTCGGACGACCGTCGACCCCGTTTCGTTGAGTTATTCCGCCATGTTCATCACACTTTCCTCCCAACTCATGTTTCAGTGAACCATTCTTCTTTCGCAAATCCAAACTAGGGTTTCTGATCCGCAGTTATTTGGCATGGAAGGCCTGGAGAACCATTTCCCGCATAGTATGCGAAGGGATTTTTGCAACGATACGAGTTCCTAATCCGCCTCTGACCTCTCATCCCTCCCCCGAACTTATCAGCGCTTCTCTGTATAGCGAAGCTATCCACGTTTCGAACGCGAATCTAGTCAACCCCGCATGTCTAACTGACCTGGCGATTGCTTCGCGTTCCATTTGTTGCAAGCGAATCGCTGACATGTTGACTCAACGCGTCCCACTCATGAACTATTACGATGCCTCCTTGGATCCTGCGAATTTCAGCCCGTCGTGGGAGGTCTGCACCGAAGCCACTGAAGCGAGAAGCTGGGCTGGCCCGTGGAACGCCAATGCTGGAGACACGCCGACCGCCATGGGAGACGCGACCGCCCTTGGAGAGGCCTTAGAACTTCCAAGCGGCGGCGCCACAGCGTTGCCAGAATCTACGCCGGCCGAGCCGCAGGGCGAATCAGACGACGAACTGCTCCGCGAGATGTTGGAAGCGATGGATGTTGATGAAATTCGTCTTCACATTGAAGGACTCCACCCCGCGCCCTACGGTTTCTACGAAGAAAACGACACGACGGACGGCGCGCAAGCATTGTGCGCTGATGACGAGTTGTTCGCCGCGTGGGGCATTTTGCCCGCTAGCGGTTCCTTTGATCCTCAAAGTGCGACCCATGCCGCGAATCCCGCCGCGATAGGCGGTGATTCTGCTCAGCGAACGGGGGCTCCGCATCCGGGATTGGAATCGGCATCGGCAGGTGACGCCGCGGCAGTGCAGCAGCACAAAAGTCAGAGTGCTGGCGTTGGCGTTGCCATCGGTGGTAATGCCGGTGCTGGTGCTGACAATGACGCTGGTGCCATTGTTCATGTCCATGCTGGTGCAGAAGGTGACGCCACGGCAGAGCAGCAGCGCGGGAGCCAGGGTGCTGGCGTTGGCGCTGCCGTCGGTGGTACTGATGGCGCCGATGCCACACATAATGCCTTAGTTTATGCAGAAGGCGATGCCACGGCAGAGCAGCAGCACGGCGAAACGATGGAGGTCGAAGGGATTTTTCTTCAGCTTGACGGACTCGCCATGGCGAGCTACGGTTTCTGGCCTGCAGACGACACGACGGACCATTCGCACGAATTTCATACTACTGGCGAATCGATGTTCTTCTCCCCCACCACCACGTGGAGCTTTCAAGACGCCAACGCTTTTGGGGATCTGCCCGCGACCTACCCCGCGAACCCCGCCGCGATAGGCGGAGATTCTGCTGAGCCGACGTGGGTTCCGCTTCTGGGAATCGAATGGGCTGAGAATGCGGCTTTTGAGGCGCCTCAAAAGGGTGTGGATGCTGACAGTGCGGACGATCCTGACAATCCTGACACTGATGCTACCTGTAATGGCTTTCTTAATGCAGAAGAGGACACCACGGCAGCGCAGGAGCACATGAGCCACGCTGCTGGCGCTCATACTGCCACCGGTGATGTTGCTGGTGACGATGCTAACGATGCTGACGCCGATGCTACCTATGATGCCAATGCTGATGCGACATGCGACGCCACGGCAGAGCAGCAGCGCGGGAGCCAGGGTGCTGGCGTTGGCGCTGCCGTCGGTGGTACTGATGGCGCCGATGCCACACATAATGCCTTTGTTTATGCAGAAGGCGATGCCACGGCAGAGCAGCAGCACGGGAGCCAGGGTGCTGGAGCTGGCACTGCCGTTGGAGGCATTGATGGTGCCGATGCTGGCGGCATCACTATCACAGAAGGGGTGAACATCCCACGAGTGCTGCAGCAGATGAATCGACTCAGAAAGCAGGCGTGTGCGAGTGGTAGCAACGGCGGCGCCAGGCCGGTGGCAACCACCATCATGCCACACCGGCCTGGCGCCGTCGTTGCGTCTACTCGGATTGCAAGCCGCAACCACCTGGCAGAGCTGTGGAGCCACAGCCACAGCCACCCTCAGTTTGATGCTAGCGCCGCCTTACCCATCGGACCTGCTGCTTCCACTCCCACCCCCACCACCCCAACCACTCTTAACACCACTCCATCCCCATCAGCACCAACCACTCCCACCACCCCAACCACTCCATCCCCATCAGCACCAACCACTCTTGCCGCTGCTGAGTCTGCTGTGCCCGGTTCAGATGCCTCTGCAGCTGGTACGTCTGCAGCTGGTACGTCTACAGCTGGTACGTCTGCAGCTGATGCCTCTGCAGCTGATGCCTCTGCAGCTGATGCCTCTGCAGCTGATGCCTCTGCAGCTGATGCCTCTGCAGCTGCAAGCACGAACCTGAGTGGTGAAAACTACAGGTGGCATAACAATGGAAACAAGACGATCTATCCGAGCGGGGGAGCTCCCTTCCGGAGAAAGTACTACCGATGCAGTTTATACTCTGCAGAATGTAGAGCAACGAGAACTATTGATGTTGTTGATGGGCAGCAACTGAGAATTGCGTACAGCGGCACACACAACCATGCACCGCCCACGGGGAGAAGAAATCACAGCCGTTCACAGGGTTTGTGAGCCCATTACATTCTGTATGACCTGCAACTAAAAACGTGCACATTTTGCTACCCTAGGATGTTATTAACATAGACACTGTTACTGTAGTAAGAAAACTGAGTTTTGTGATACCTTAAACATATACACCGTATCAAAACGCTACCTTATGCATGTCAGCATGGCTGCGTGGAGCCTCATAAAGCTTCTTCATTGTTTGCACGCGTGCCTTTTTGGCAGCATGCTTCTGTGCCTTGGTCTCTGTCTTCTCTCGGACCTCAAGGGCCTTATCAAGCAGCTTCTGCCTCCTCGTCTTGCCTCGTCTCTCCGGTGGCCTGCCAGGTGGCGTGTCGGTATTGGGTGGAATTTGGGCCGTGAGTTTCACGAATGAGATTGCCAATGTTGCTGTACCCACAGAGAAAAGGGCTGTACCCACAGAGAATGGTGCTGTACCCACAGAGAATGGTGCGAATGTAGGAGCCTCGCCGTGTTGCTGGCCGAGCAGGTGTGGCATTTGTGGTGTACAGACAGACAGAAGCTCTCAAAAATGGGGTAGGAACAGGCGCGGGCGGCTCACTGAGAGGCTGACAAAGCGGCTGTGCTGCTCAAAGACATCACAGCACAGCCGCATGGGCTGTGACTCGAGACTCCTCAAAATGGGGTGCTACATACTTGCATGGGCACCCACCCTGCAGTTGTAGAGCAGCTGTACTCCTTGGAAATGACTTTTGAGGCGACTCAAAAGTCACCGCAATTGGAGAGCAGCTGTACTCCTTGGTGACACCACAGCACAGCCGCATGATTTGAGCCGCCGTTGCAAAACGGGGTGGGCACAGGCGGGTGGCTCGCTGTGTGACCAACAAAGCAGGTGTGCTGCGAACAGCATCAGCCGACGCCTTTGATTACTGTGAACCCCGTCGTCTCACTCGTGTCTGGTGAGGGGAGGGGAGGAGGGAAGGAGGGGGCGGAGGGAATGAGGACCATGGGTGGGCGACTAGTGCTGCTGCTGACAGCATCAGCCGACGCCTTAACCACTGTGAACCCCGGGTTTAGGGTTTCGCCTCACTCGTGGGTGGGGTGCCCATGCAAGAAAGGAGGAGTGGACGGAGGGCGGGGTGTCCACCCCACCCCAGCCATCTCTCCTTTTCGGGTTTCGCCTCACTCGTGTCTGGTGATGGGAGGGGACGAGAGGGGGAGGGGAGGAGAGGGGGGAATGGAGGGGGGGGGGAGGGGAGGAGGGGAGGAGGAGGGGAGGGGAGGGAGGAGGGGGAGGGGGGGTGGGGGCCGGAAGGATGCGGCACACAGGAGGGTGACTTGTGGGCCTTAATCAAGAACCCATCAGCCGAAGCCTTGATCACTGTGAACCCCATCACCTCACTCGTGTCTGGTAGGGACGGGGGTTGAGGGGTGGGGGAAAAGGAGAGAAGAAAAGGGGAGTGGACGGAGGGCGGGCCATGGGATGTTGAGTTGTGCGCGTGAGGGCACCATCAGCCAAAGCCTTAATCACTGTGAACCCCATCTGGTGGGAGGGGAAGGAGAGGAGGGGGGGAGGGAAGGAGAGGGGGGAGGGGGAGGGGGAGGGGGAGGCGGAAGGATGGGGGACACAGGGGGGTGACTTGTGCGCCTTGATCACTGTGAACCCCATCGCCTCACTCGTGTCTGGTGGAGGGGGAGGGGAGGATGGGGGGGATGAGAGGAAGGGGGGGGCGGGGAGGAGAGAGGGGAGGGGGAAGGGGGGACGGAAGGATGGGGCACACAGGGGGGTGACTTGTGCGCCTTCATCGTGAACCCATCAGCCGACGCCTTGATTACTGTGAACGCCATCGTCTCACTTGTGACTGAGGGGAAAGGATGGGGAACGGGGGGAGGAGAGATGCGGAGGGAAACGGGGACAACGGGAGGGAAAGAAAAGAGAGGAGGGGTGGCGGAGAGGGTTGGGAGGAGGGAAGGGGGGGGAAGGGGGGGGGAAGGGGGAGGGGGGAGGAGAGGAGGAAAAGCGTGGGGGGAGAGGGAGGGGGGAAGGGCACGTAGGAAGAGGGGGGTGACTTGTGGTTGGTGGGCAGCCTCGCTCGTGTCAGAGGGGCGGGGATGGGGGAAAGGGGGACGGGGATGGGAGAAAGGGGGACGGGGATGGGGGAAAGGGGGACGGGGATGGGGGGCGTGGGAGAGGGGAGGGGGAACGCGCATGGCAGACTTTTAAGACGTCTCAAAGGCCTCTCTCGTGTCAGAGGGGCGCGCATGGGGGAAAGGGGGGCGGGGATGCGGGGCGTGGGAGAGGGGAGGGGGGAGACGAAGAGCGAAGAGACTAGTCATTGTACAAGATTTGGGGTTTCGGGTTTCCTCCAGCCTTCCTCCTAACCCAAAGTCAATGTTTTGTTGCACCCCCCCCCCCCTTGTCGATTCTGTCTTCTTATCTTCCACCTACCCATGGCGTTGCCGCTAGCGATCGGACCTCCCGCCTCGCCGGATGCATCGGCGCCTCCCACGGCGGCTGAAGCGGCGGAAAATACGGCGGCCGCGACGTCCTTAGCGGCTCCCGCGGAGAATGTCACGGCGGAAGGCGCGGCGGCGTCCCCCATGTCCATGTCGCCAGCCCCGTCCTGGTTCTTCGCCTTTCGCTTCTTCACCATTTTCGTGAGGGGGGAAACACTAAAAGATAAACAATTTAGGAACTGCCGTACATTAAAAGTAGCGAGACTTTACAGCACTGGTATCCGCGGGCTATCAACTAGACACCCGGAAGAGACGATTTGGGACCTAACTGCAGGGGAGGGACTGAAAATGAAATGAGCATTTTTACTCAAGAAGTTGTGAAGAGGGTGGTTATCGTCCGCGTTTGTGGTTTTGTCTTCGAGAAATAGCGGAGCACGATGAGCTGTTTTTGTTATTTGTGGAATAATAAGGCCTACACTTTTGTAAGAATGTTGTTTGATGGTACGTAACGGTTTGTTCGGTAAAACGTGGTAGTGGCTACAAAGGCCTCGCCAGAGTCAGCGAAGCCACGCTGGATTCGTTGCAATTAGTTAGTTGGTCATTCAGAAGCACGTGGCGTCACCTAACTGATTCGGACCATTTTTGGTTGCTTGAGATCGTCCGTCGTCTTAGTCAGCGCATTGCTTGCTTGGAACGGAATGTTGCTGCTTCAACAGCCCGCCAACGATGGTCACGAACTTGCGCCCACGAACCCCGCCCCCAAGTACCCCAACTAGCGCCCCCACGGACCACTACAGTAGCGGGTTACGAACAGCGCCCAGTTTTCGCTCGCCGTCTGGAGTGGACTGGAATCTGAAACCCTCGTTGTTGCACACGAGGATCGTCGTGAGGGGAAAGATGTGGCGCCGTCCACTCGCCCCCATCTCTCACGTTGCGCACCATGAAGCGCATGAATAGCTTCATGTCACTTCTCCTCCGATCTGAGTCATGTTGTTGCCGCCACCCTGAATGGTGAAGCCTTCCAATTTTGGATCGCGAAGCCAGTCAATCCCGCCTATCGGAGTCACCTAGAGATTGCTTCGTCGCGTCCTATCTCACTGGCGTGTCATTGCTTAAACCAATTCGTTGCAAGCGAATCGCTGTCATGTCGGACCAGCACAACCCATTCGAGAGCAATGGCTCCTTGGATCCTGCGAATTTCAGTCCGCCGCGGGAATTCTGGCTGTGGAACGACAATATTGGTGGCGCGCCGGTCGCCTTGGGAGACGCGGCCACCAGTGCAGAGGCCAACGAACTGCTCGAGACGATGTTCAGGAGCGAAGCGGATGGCGGGCTCCCCCCGGAGCGCTACGGTTTCGACCGCGCTCAAGCATCGTCTGCTGACGTGTTCACCACGTGGGGCATTCAGCCTGCTAGCAGTTCTTCTGATCCTCTGTGCGCGACCCACACCGCGAATCCTGCCGCCATAGGCGGTGATTCTGTTCAGCAGACGGGGTCTCCGCGCCTGGGATTGGAATCGGCATCGACAGGCGACGCTACGGCTGAGCAGCACGGAAGTCAGGGCGGTGGCGTTGGCACCGCCGCCGTGGGTGATATTGCTGGTGCTGGTGCTATTCTTAATGCCGAAACTATTGCAAAAGACGACGCGATGGCAGAGCTGCAGCACGGGATCCCTGGCGCTGGCGTTGCCGTCGGTGGTATTTATGGTGCTGATGCCGATTCAGGCGCTGATGCTACTTCTATAGTCCCTGCTGGCGCAAAAGGCGGCGCCACGGCAGATCAGCAGCACAGAGGCCAGGGTGCTGGAGCTTTCGCTACCGTCGGTGGTATTTATGGTGCTGATGCCGATTCAGGCGCTGATGCTACTTCTATAGTCCCTGCTGGTGCAAAAGGCGGCGCCACGGCAGATCAGCAGCACAGAGGCCAGGGTGCTGGAGCTTTCGCTACCGTCGGTGGTATTTATGGTGCTGATGCCGATTCAGGCGCTGATGCTACTTCTATAGTCCCTGCTGGTGCAAAAGGCGGCGCCACGGCAGATCAGCAGCACAGAGGCCAGGGTGCTGGAGCTTTCGCTACCGTCGGTGGTATTTATGGTGCTGATGCCGATTCAGGCGCTGATGCTACTTCTATAGTCCCTGCTGGTGCAAAAGGCGGCGCCACGGCAGATCAGCAGCACAGAGGCCAGGGTGCTGGAGCTTTCGCTACCGTCGGTGGTATTTATGGTGCTGATGCTGATTCAGGCGCTGATGCTACTTCTATAGTCCCTGCTGGCGCAAAAGGCGGCGCCACGGCAGATCAGCAGCACAGAGGCCAGGGTGCTGGAGCTTTCGCTACCGTCGGTGGTATTTATGGTGCTGATGCCGATTCAGGCGCTGATGCTACTTCTATAGTCCCTGCTGGTGCAAAAGGCGGCGCCACGGCAGATCAGCAGCACAGAGGCCAGGGTGCTGGAGCTTTCGCTACCGTCGGTGGTATTTATGGTGCTGATGCTGATTCAGGCGCTGATGCTACTTCTATAGTCCCTGCTGGCGCAAAAGGCGGCGCCACGGCAGATCAGCAGCACAGAGGCCAGGGTGCTGGAGCTTTCGCTACCGTCGGTGGTATTTATGGTGCTGATGCCGATTCAGGCGCTGATGCTACTTCTATAGTCCCTGCTGGTGCAAAAGGCGGCGCCACGGCAGATCAGCAGCACAGAGGCCAGGGTGCTGGAGCTTTCGCTACCGTCGGTGGTATTTATGGTGCTGATGCCGATTCAGGCGCTGATGCTACTTCTATAGTCCCTGCTGGTGCAAAAGGCGGCGCCACGGCAGATCAGCAGCACAGAGGCCAGGGTGCTGGAGCTTCCGCTACCGTCGGTGGTATTTATGGTGCTGATGCCGATTCAGGCGCTGATGCTACTTCTATAGTCCCTGCTGGTGCAAAAGGCGGCGCCACGGCAGATCAGCAGCACAGAGGCCAGGGTGCTGGAGCTTTCGCTACCGTCGGTGGTATTTATGGTGCTGATGCCGATTCAGGCGCTGATGCTACTTCTATAGTCCCTGCTGGTGCAAAAGGCGGCGCCACGGCAGATCAGCAGCACAGAGGCCAGGGTGCTGGAGCTTTCGCTACCGTCGGTGGTATTTATGGTGCTGATGCCGATTCAGGCGCTGATGCTACTTCTATAGTCCCTGCTGGTGCAAAAGGCGGCGCCACGGCAGATCAGCAGCACAGAGGCCAGGGTGCTGGAGCTTTCGCTACCGTCGGTGGTATTTATGGTGCTGATGCCGATTCAGGCGCTGATGCTACTTCTATAGTCCCTGCTGGTGCAAAAGGCGGCACCACGGCAGATCAGCAGCACAGAGGCCAGGGTGCTGGAGCTTTCGCTACCGTCGGTGGTATTTATGGTGCTGATGCCGATTCAGGCGCTGATGCTACTTCTATAGTCCCTGCTGGTGCAAAAGGCGGCGCCACGGCAGATCAGCAGCACAGAGGCCAGGGTGCTGGAGCTTTCGCTACCGTCGGTGGTATTTATGGTGCTGATGCCGATTCAGGCGCTGATGCTACTTCTATAGTCCCTGCTGGTGCAAAAGGCGGCGCCACGGCAGATCAGCAGCACAGAGGCCAGGGTGCTGGAGCTTTCGCTACCGTCGGTGGTATTTATGGTGCTGATGCCGATTCAGGCGCTGATGCTACTTCTATAGTCCCTGCTGGTGCAAAAGGCGGCGCCACGGCAGATCAGCAGCACAGAGGCCAGGGTGCTGGAGCTTTCGCTACCGTCGGTGGTATTTATGGTGCTGATGCCGATTCAGGCGCTGATGCTACTTCTATAGTCCCTGCTGGTGCAAAAGGCGGCGCCACGGCAGATCAGCAGCACAGAGGCCAGGGTGCTGGAGCTTTCGCTACCGTCGGTGGTATTTATGGTGCTGATGCTGATTCAGGCGCTGATGCTACTTCTATAGTCCCTGCTGGCGCAAAAGGCGGCGCCACGGCAGATCAGCAGCACAGAGGCCAGGGTGCTGGAGCTTTCGCTACCGTCGGTGGTATTTATGGTGCTGATGCCGATTCAGGCGCTGATGCTACTTCTATAGTCCCTGCTGGTGCAAAAGGCGGCGCCACGGCAGATCAGCAGCACAGAGGCCAGGGTGCTGGAGCTTTCGCTACCGTCGGTGGTATTTATGGTGCTGATGCTGATTCAGGCGCTGATGCTACTTCTATAGTCCCTGCTGGCGCAAAAGGCGGCGCCACGGCAGATCAGCAACACAGAGGCCAGGGTGCTGGAGCTTTCGCTACCGTTGGTGGTATTTATGGTGCTGATGCCGATTCAGGCGCTGATGCTACTTCTATAGTCCCTGCTGGTGCAAAAGGCGGCGCCACGGCAGATCAGCAGCACAGAGGCCAGGGTGCTGGAGCTTTCGCTACCGTCGGTGGTATTTATGGTGCTGATGCTGATTCAGGCGCTGATGCTACTTCTATAGTCCCTGCTGGCGCAAAAGGCGGCGCCACGGCAGATCAGCAGCACAGAGGCCAGGGTGCTGGAGCTTTCGCTACCGTCGGTGGTATTTATGGTGCTGATGCCGATTCAGGCGCTGATGCTACTTCTATAGTCCCTGCTGGTGCAAAAGGCGGCGCCACGGCAGATCAGCAGCACAGAGGCCAGGGTGCTGGAGCTTTCGCTACCATCGGTGGTATTTATGGTGCTGATGCCGATTCAGGCGCTGATGCTACTTCTATAGTCCCTGCTGGTGCAAAAGGCGGCGCCACGACAGATCAGCAGCACAGAGGCCAGGGTGCTGGAGCTTTCGCTACCGTCGTTGGTATTTATGGTGCTGATGCCGATTCAGGCGCTGATGCTACTTCTATAGTCCCTGCTGGTGCAAAAGGCGGCGCCACGGCAGATCAGCAGCACAGAGGCCAGGGTGCTGGAGCTTTCGCTACCGTCGGTGGTATTTATGGTGCTGATGCTGATTCAGGCGCTGATGCTACTTCTATAGTCCCTGCTGGTGCAAAAGGCGGCGCCACGGCAGATCAGCAGCACAGAGGCCAGGGTGCTGGAGCTTTCGCTACCGTCGGTGGTATTTATGGTGCTGATGCCGATTCAGGCGCTGATGCTACTTCTATAGTCCCTGCTGGTGCAAAAGGCGGCGCCATGGCAGATCAGCAGCACAGAGGCCAGGGTGCTGGAGCTTTCGCTACCGTCGGTGGTATTTATGGTGCTGATGCCGATTCAGGCGCTGATGCTACTTCTATAGTCCCTGCTGGTGCAAAAGGCGGCGCCACGGCAGATCAGCAGCACAGAGGCCAGGGTGCTGGAGCTTTCGCTACCGTCGGTGGTATTTATGGTGCTGATGCCGATTCAGGCGCTGATGCTACTTCTATAGTCCCTGCTGGTGCAAAAGGCGGCGCCACGGCAGATCAGCAGCACAGGAGCCAGGGTGCTGGAGCTTTCGCTACCGTCGGTGGTATTGCTGGTACTGATGCGTTCGAAGCTGAGGCCGTTGCTGTTCATAATGCCAATGCGCATGCAAAAGGCGGCGCCACGGCAGATCAGCAGCACAGGAGCCAGGGTGCTGGAGCTGGCGCTGCCGTTGGAGGCTCTAATGGTGCTGGTGATGGCGGTACGGGGCTGAACATCGCAGAACCGGTGTAGCAGATAAGCCTGCACAAAAGGCAGGCGGGTGCGAGTGGTCGCAACGACGGCGCGACGGCTGCGTCGACCAGCAACATGCAGCGAGATTCGGCGCCGTGTGACATCACGTGTGGAAGCATCAGTAGCTCACCAATGCAGTATCGGTTCCGCGCCCCTCTTTCCGCTCTGGCTTCCTATCAGAACATAAGCAACAATCACCTGGGAGAAACGCGACACACCTCAACACTTCAACCGCGAGCAATTAGATTGACCGGAGGTGCTTCGTCCCCTGCTCAACACTCGGCTTTCGCAACGGTGCAGCCTGAAGAAGCTTCCAGGGCGGGGGAGAAACGGAAGCTTTCAAAACAACAAAAAGAGGAGATAAGGCAGAGGGGAAATGAGAACGCGAAGGTCATGAAGAGAGATGGTCGCTTCCCCGGTCCTACCAACCCAACCACCCCATACAGTCTCTCTCCTGGTCCTACCAACCCAACCACCCCATACAGTCTCTCTCCCGGTCCTACCAACCCAACCACCCCATACAGTCTCTCTCCCGGTCCTACCAACCCAATCACCCCTAGGACGACAACGGCTCCATCCACACCAGCATCTGCCACTCCTACCGCTGCTGAGTCTGCTGCTTCCGGTCCGAATGCCTCCGCAGCTGATACGTCTGCAGCTGCAAGCACGGCACCGAGCCAGAGTAATCCAAACTACAAGTGGTACAACAACGGAAACAAGGTCATTACGCCGAAAGGGAAAGCTCCCTTCTTGAGGAATTACTACCGCTGCAGTGCCCCAGGCTGTGAGGTGACATTGAAAGTTGATGATGTTCCCGGGAGGCAACCTGAGCGTGTTGGCAAACACGAACATTGATGACAACCGTTGATGATGTTGCCGCGAAGGGAGATAAACAGGGTCGTACACAGGGTTCCTATAGCCCATTGCATACTGTATATTACGTGCCGGTAAAAGTCGCATGTTTTGTTACACATGTTTTGTTCACTGCATGTTTTGTTACACATGTTTTGTTCCTTGCATGTTTTGCTACTCATGTTTTGTTCCTTGCATGTTTTGCTACTCATGTTTTGTTCCTTGCGTATTTTGCTACTCATGTTGTGTTCCTTTGTGCAATAATGTGTTGGGTTGACTTCCGAGTGTAAGGCTTTTGCTTGTAACAAACTGATGACACGATGGATTACAACGACTCATGTTTTTACTTACGCGCAGCACGGAAGTGGTGACTTGAGGCGAAAGAGAACCCGCGGGGAAAAACGAGTCAACTGTGGACGATACGGTGGAGAGAGGGGGAAAACAAGAAAATGTCGCGGTTGTGGAACAGATGTCGTCGTTTTCACTCCCGTTATAGTCACACTCGCCTTGAGTCGTCCTCAGCTGCTTGCAGTCCGAGCGGCGGCTGCTGTTTCCCAGGGGCTTGCTAGCCGGCTGACACTCCAAACAGCGGCTGTTCCGTCAAATCGTACGGAGAGAGGAAAAGAGCGAGAGCGGGATTCTGCAGCTGGCTGATGGATCGCATAATTGTAGTGCACCCGTTGGTTTTAACGGTGGTCCTTGCATCACTATCGAGAAGATTATGCCGATTAATTCAGGACGTGGAAAAACACACGTGAAAGGAATGGAAGCAGAAGAAGGTGAGACTCCAAAATAAAGGACGTTCCTATGGTTGCTAACGTGTCTGAAGAAAGTAATCGCAGTAGTAATAATTTCTGGACGAAACAGAACTAACTCTGTCAACTTACTCTCGACCTACTTATAGTAGAGCCTTATTTTTCTCCGTTTTACACTTGGTTGGGTTACGTGACTGATTGACGAACGACAAAAAATGTGACTAGCTGGGGTGCGTTTCTGACGGAACCAATCACGGACGTGCATTCCCAACCAAGTGCATGTAAATATGAGACACGAGCTTTAAAATTGACGGGCTTTTTGAAAAGGGCGCTTCGGTGGGGTGGTGGTCGATGCGCGGCTTGGGTTTGCAGGAGGCATATTTGTGGTGGCGTCGACTCGACACGAATTTGAATTTCCAGCTTGTTGAATCCCGAAAATTCGTTTCGTGCCGAGCAGGTGACGAGCGAAATTTGAGCGAGGCATACGTGGCAAGATAGTTCAGGTTTGGCCGTGCATAGAATCTGTTCCACCGTTGGATCCACCCTGAGCAAATCCCGTGTCCCACCGAGCCAAATCAGTGCTGGTCGTGATGTTGACGAAGCTCTCCTCTCCACCTTCCAGCGACGACGTTTTCTTCGCCACTGCCACTGCCTCTCATACATTTCGTACATTTAGTCGGTACATACATACATTTCGAACCTGATTCATACATTTCGTTCAGCGATAACATATTGTAAACTTATGTTAGTCGGTTTGACATAGCCAACCTGAAACATGGAGCTAACCTCGAGCTCTCCGCCATGGCCGCCAGGCGCTAGCCTGGAAAGCACATTACGTGAAGCTCCCTTATCAGTTCAACTCGATAATGACATCTACAGCATCGCCTTTTCAAAAGCTATCGGGGGATACGGCTTTAATGTTGACATTGTCGACATTGCATCTCCTAATTTCAAGGCACCTTGTTATGAATAGTGATTACTGAAACACTACTGTACACTCCTCACCGCAGCAATCGAAGTACGCACTACCGGGAATGAAGACGAACAAGCGGAGGTGACACGAAGAGTCACACGGTTACGAAAGGATCTGGACCGACGGGCAGACAGCATCAGACAGCATCAGGCAGCAGCAGTGGCGAGGATTCTGCCTGAACAGTTTCGTAACTGTCTGGAGTCGCACGGTTGGATTTCGCTGCAATAAGGGAATGTACTCCTTAGAGTACATGGCTAGCTAGGTCGATTGGTATCCCCTTGTAATCTTATTTATATTCCTTACACTGCATGTTTTTATTATCTCAAGCATTTACATTCACTCTGCTATTGAGGTCAAGGGCCCACCACCGCTAGACTAGGACTGTGCGAACCTTCCTGAGGTGATCCTGAGGGTGATCAACTTCTGATCGCAACATGGTATGAGAGCGACTCAGGAATCCTTCGCACCGCCACCACCGAAATCTTCGGCAACCGAAAAGTGGCGTCCGGCACACGTTCACGTGTGAGAATGGCCGGAGGATCTGGAGGTCAGACGAATCTGACGGCTGAAGCGCAGACTAATCCGGCTGCGAAAAACGAGGAAACGACGACAATCCCTTCCGTCGTCCTCGCACAACTGCTTCAGCGACTCACGAGCCTGGATCAAGGGCTCCAAACATTGCGGAATGGCGATGCGGGAACATCTTCCCAACCCACTCAACCGGCCTCGAATGGCCAGAACTCCGCCCCGCAAGGCTTCTCTCTTGACACAAACGGCTCAACACCCAAGACTCCCTGTCCCAGCGACGAAGCAATTCTCTCTGCGCAATCAAGGTTTTTGAGCATATCAAAAATAAAGACAAGCACGTGCTTTGACGGCAGAGACTTTTATACTTGGAGCTTCGAACAGGAGCTGCTGCTACAAAACGCGCACATTTATCACTACTTCGACGGGAGCTACTCGGGACCTGCGGAAGAGACTGACGACGCAAAAACCAAGTACTACAACGAGTCCCTGATGGCGTACGGGGTTCTTCTCCGAAATATGTCTCCGACGGAGCAATTGAGCATTCGCTCATACAAAACCTCGCCTGCTCCAGCCCTCAACGCCTGGCGACACCTGAATGGTGTGTATCAACCAAAGGACTCAGTGTCGTCGAGCCGCCTACTCCAGCAGCTACTGGAGACCAAAATGGCACCAGGAGAGAAGGCCAACAGTTACCTGAATCGCTGTCGGAGCTTACGCGATCAAATCGCGAAACTGGGGAGCACGATTTCTGAGGAAATCTTCGTAAATATCGTGCTCCAAGGGCTCGGCCCCGAGTGGCGGCCCTGCAAGGCGCTTCTCCGACAGCAGGGGGTCATCTCGGAGGCCGCCCTTTGCGCCGCCCTTCTCGTCGAACAAAGGGATATGGACCAGCAGCGACGAGCGCCGCGACGAGACAGGGAACGCCTCGCCTTCAACGCCGACAATACGGAAGAGCGACGGCCGCGGCGCCTCTACTGCAAAATCTGCAGGAATTTCGGGCACCTGGCGGACCGATGCAAGCATCGATCTCGCCCTCGTCAGACCAATCCGAGCAACTGGTCCGGCCGACAAGACGCGAGGAACGACACGCGTCCCGCCTAGGGGTATCAACCCCCATCGCGTAACCTGAACCCAACAGTTCAGCAGCAGCAGCAGCCATCACAGGCTACCCCCGTCCGCAATGTCATGGGGAACATGACCATGACGAGCGGCTCTCGTCGCCCGCGCGCACGCTCACCATCACCCGAGCCGGCGCCTGACCCAATCGGAGCGTCCTCGAACAACAACCCGTTCAGCACGCATCACGACTTCAGCGACGATGACAAACAGGACTGGAATCTCCCAGTCCCGCTGCTTGAGAGCCCCCCGCACATACCCGACATGCGGCCGGCACCGATCGACTGGATCGCACGCGAACAATTCTTGAAGGTCGACACTCCACACATCGTCACTCCGCGACTGGCGCTGCTCGCGCGAAACGACAACAGGCGCTACAACACGTGGTACCTGGACAGCTGTTGTGGGCAGCACATGGTGGGCTCTGAGCGTTACATATCCAACGCCGTCGCCACCCCCGCCGTCACTTACGTCACTGTGGCGAACAATACGCGGCTGCGCGCAAGCGCGCAAGGCATTGTTGTGCTCAAAGCACATGGGAGTAGAACGCACATCACCTTGAATGACGTGTTGATTGTGCAGAACCTGCGTTTCAACCTGCTCTCGGCGGCGCAACTCCTGGATTGCGGAGTCATCCTCAGCACCGACCCCGAGACGCGCGACATTCTGCTCCACTTCACAATGCCGAACAAGATGCGCAAGCAGATCGGACGAGCGCACGCCGAGAACGGAGTGTACGTTCTTGACTTTGACATTCCCGACTGCAGCGGCGATTC